AGTGTATGTTTGGAGACATAAATGGATAGATTGTAATTTCTAAACCCTAGAGGATACTGCAAACAATATAGGAATGATGGGTTTGTTTATTGTTTAAGAGCACAGTCCTTATAGTTATAAATTTGTAAGAAAATGTCTCCACATCCCGTTCCCACTCTATGGATTTAGGAAGTCTGCTCATCCTCACAACAGATGAGTGTACTCTCATTTATACTTAGAGGTGTCACAAATCATTTTTTCCCTTACATAACAGAGTAGACTATTTTAAAAGATAGATAATTCTAAAAGTGTGACACATTTCTTAAAGAGGAGAAAAGAGGACCCATTATAAAGAAGAGGTATGATCTAGTCTCATTTGTGTGCTAGATAAGTGCATAGAAAATCTGGAAGCATATACATTGCTGAGTTAACACTTTGGGTCTTTTGAGATTATGAATAATTGCAATTTTCTTCTCTGCTCAATAATAATTTCTAAATGTTCTATGATAAATATCTTCTATTCTTTTAATAAGAAAGTGAATAGAAAATATTTAAGTCTTAATGAAGATCAAGGAGAATGATTTGACTGTTAATTCACCTCCCATGGTGGCAAACATTTTTAACTATAGAAAGAAAACAATGAAGTGAGAGGAATTGGGTTATATCTGGGATTTTTTTCAGTTTTTCTTGATTTGTTTTGTTGTATGTGATTAAGAACTTTCTGAAGTCTTAAGAAACTTGTCAGGGAACTATGTCCTTTTATGACACTGAAAATCTTAAATCCAGCTATAATGAAGAGGGAATGAAACTAACATTAATCAGGCTTTTAAAAGAAAAGGAGATGAACAAGCAAAATGGGTTCATTTCAAGGTAACTACCGGTTTAGACTAATAGATCTGCATTGAGGAGATGGGATACCTTGGTTAAACTTATGCATGATTAGATAAGTTGAGATGAAAATTTTAGCACTTTATATATATATATATATATATAAAAGATTTATTCATACAGAACTGGGGTACAAGCTAGAGGTGCAGAGGCGGTGAGAGTCATCACCAAAGAGAGAGTGGGGAGCAGAACAGGCCAGCTGATGAAGGATGCTGCTGAGGGAAGCAGCGGGCGAGATAGGAGAGACCTGCCGCGCCATTGGGTCAGACGCTTGGGGCGGGGGATCGAACTAGCACTGAAGTGATTGCGACCAGCTTGCAGTGCTGAGTCCTAACCCATTGCGCCACCAGGGAGGGCCCAGAAAGAACATTTTATGCAAATACAACCCTGTCCTTGGCAGTATCAGCAATAACCCTGTATTTTCAGCTTCAGTTATCAAAAATAGCGGCTAAACAGTGATCTAGGGTTCCTTCCCCACTCCCATCTAATTGTCACAATTTTTTTTTGTATTTTTTGATAGTTATATAAAAAATAAACAGTGGTTGCCAAGGTCTGGATATAGAGAGGGATGGATAGCAGAGCCCAGAGGGTTTTTAGGGCCGTAAAACTGTTCTGTGTGATGCTACTATGTTGGATGCGTCTTGTGATATATTTGTCCAACAGAATGTGCAACACAAAAGTAGTGTGCACTGGGTAATTACGACGTGTCACTGCAGGTTCATCCCTCTGGTAAGCGCCCCACCCCCACCCCTCCCCGCCACACACACACACCTGCACGCTGTGCTGTGGGATGTAGAGAAGGGAGGCTATACCTGGGCAGGACTTTCCACCCATTTTGCTGTGAACCTAGAAACTCTCTAAAAACATTAAAATTATTAATTAAAATGCCCTCTTAGTTCAACTCCCTCCTCAATGCCCTCTGTCTTTTTGGACCGTTTTTGGACAGTTTCTACTTCCCTTTGGAGATAAGGAGGGTATGCGGGCAGGTACTATTCCTGGAGAAAGAGCTGCTGAAGAATAATCGCTTGATTTGGTGGTAGAAGCCAGGTTATGGCTACTTTGAATGATCAATAGTGACATTTGCAGGCGCCCTGAGAAGTTTAGAATTGCTCTGAGTCAGGGTTCCGAGTGGAATCTTCTTTCTGTCATGTGAAGTGACAGCAGGTTCCATTTTTGCTCTGATTCCCTGGGGAAGCCAGCAGAGGCGTGGACAGAAGTTGAGGTTAAAACTTAGAATGTTAAGGACAGTGTATGATATCTCAAAAACGAAGTAATTTGGGAGGGGAGATTTTCACAATTATGAATGGACTTGTGGGTTGGCGGTGGGGGAGGGGAACTGGAGAAAACAAGATCAATACTAGGTCTAAAAGATTCCTTAATTTTTTTACCTTTTGTCACCTATGATGTCAGCGAGTTAGATGCTCTTGAATCCCAGTTTTGTAATGAGGAAACCGGGGCACGTGGCGACTCTAACATATATGCCTCCGTCTGACACAGGGTTCGGTTCGAGCCCATGCAGACCGGCTCTGCTTGGCGCAATGTCCCAGAAAGGAAACAGGAGGTAGGAAAGCGCGAGGTTCCCACCGGGAAAGGTTTCTTCCACTCTCCAGCCCCGCAACCCCAGCGTCCTCGTCGGGCGCGGCTACTGGTGCGGCAGCCCGCACGGGGGCGCTGTCGGCACGTGGCGCGGGTTTGGGCCTCGGAGCCCGCGGCAGGTGTCACCTGGCTGCGGTGGCAGGTGCCGAGTCCTGCCGCCGGGAGGAGGCGTGAGGAGCCCCAGCGGGGGGCCATAAAAGAGGCCGAGGGGCGCCAGGTCGGCTCGCCGCGGCGACAGCACCAGCAGCTGCGCGATGGCCGGGCAGCCGTGGGGCGTCCCGGGGGGCCCCTGGAGGCGCAATGGCAGTGCGCTGCTCAACGCCTCGCAGCAGGCGCCGGGCGCGGAGGGCGCGCGGCCCCGACCCTCGTGGCTGGCCTCCACGCTGGCCGTCGTCCTCATCTTCACCATCGTGGTGGACATCCTGGGCAACCTACTGGTCATCCTGTCGGTCTATCGCAACAAGAAGCTGAGGAACGCAGGTAGGGGCTCCCGCAGCTGGCCAGGCTGGACCGGCAGCCCCAACTCGCAACCAACGGCAGTTTCTTCCTCTAGGGGTTCTGTCCTCGAACGCTTGAACGCAGCGCCCTCAGCTGTCCCGTGGCTTTTCCTAAGAAAAGTTCTATTTTTTTTTTTTTAACTAGGAACTTGGAGACAACTTTCCTCATAGAGGCTGAAGCCTGTAGGTTTAATTTTCTTTTAATTGACTGTCTGAAATGGCCTCCCTCCCCCATAAAACAATAAGTAGAAAACTTTGCCATAACCAGGTTCTTTTTCTTTTAGGGAAAACCCCACTATGACATAGTTTTCTATTTCTGAGTTTCTTTAGATGGAGAGGCGCCACATACAGCTTGCCGAAAGTTCCTCAAGAAGCCCTTTCAGATCACATCGATAAACTTGTCAACAATTTGGCTTTACATCTTACTTTTCTCAATGTTCTTAGCAAATCTATGAGCAGGCAGAACAATACTACAGTTATTTTAGTTTTGTTGTCAGGAACAGCTTTCAATTTTTTACCAAACGATTTAGAAAGATCCCCAGGCTCCTGGACACAATTGTCAGAGGGTGAGGATGGTTCCTTTAAATCAGGCAGGTTGCATTTTTAAGAGCAGAAGTGGTTGTATAAAAAAATATAACTGCATAGAATATCCTAGTAAGGCTAATTCAGTGCTTGTGCTGAACTTGCTTTTTCCTCCACACCATGAATGGAAATTGCATTATCTTGGGTGGGGCTGGAGGACAGAGCAGTCAGGCTGTCCTCTCTTGCAGACCTGATGCCCAGTGCTTCCTTAGCAGGCAGGCATCTTTGAGGAAGAGGTAAGGAAAGGACCATATACTTACATGTTTGCAAAAGCAGTATTTTATTTTTGTTCTAACCAGGTCATTGATAAATGCTGTAATTTTGTTTGACCCTTGTTGATGAGACCTCGCTTTCTTTGCTTCCCATAATGCTTGGAACAGTAAGTACATAGTCTATGAACTGGGTTTAAGCACCTGAGAGCAAGCACTGCATTTGAGTGCATCCAGTAAGTCGCCTCACTTCATGGGTGATTGACTTAACCTAAAGGAACTCTGTTTCCTGTAGAGGGTCCTCCCCTCCTCGCATGAAAAGCGGCTTCCTACGGGTCAGACATAGTTTTGAGAGCAGCGTCCACTGAATCCTCCACTGACCTTGCTGCTGTTACCCTTGATACAGAAGAGAACGTGAGTCAGTGACCATATCACCCCTAAGAGGCAGAACGGGCTGAGTGCACACAGCTTGCCCCAGGACCTCAGTCTCCACTCACATCACCACTGCGGCACTTGGGGAAGTTTGCACCCCCCCAGAATCTTTCATTAGAAAAAAAAATATTCACATGCCTAGCGTAATTGTACATCTTGTGTTTATCAAAAGGTCTTCTTTCACATTCTTTCTGTTTTGTTCACTTTCGGAGTGTTAACTGATTGATAGGGAAGTCTATAAAATACGTCCCCATAGCTCACTGGGAGACCCACAATTCACTTTCATATTTTTATAATTGCTTTTTCCGTTTAGATGTACCACTGTTGCAATGCATACCACCTGACGCTTTTTAGAATTGGTGACAGTTTGAAAATACGATAGAGAGCTAACTCAATTATGAGTTTGGGGATGCTTATTCAAAGTTCTTATGATGATGTTCAGTCCTTCCAATTTAATCAAATCTACATCCTTGCTACCATACGAAGAGATGGAAAGAAGAGATGGGAGGAATGAGATAAGGAAATAAGAATGAAGGCATTTCAGTCTTCCAGCTAGTACTTTCTTTTGGAAATGTAGTGTAACTACAGGGTTGTTTATGCCCTCAAGGGAGCATGTTGATATGTGGCTTCCCAGGGAGGAGATTAGAGAGTTCCACAACCTTCTGTGAGAGACACTGGTCTATCAGAGCTGACACAGGCTCCAAACAACCACGGGGCCTTAGTGTCGGCACGGCATTGCTCCCCTCATTTTCAAAATGTGACACGAGCTTGTGCTATTATTGTGTCTTGAGTAAGTTTCATAGCAGAATGAGAAGAGTTCTGCACTGGGAAACAGGGGTTAATATCCTTCCTATCCACATTATGATTTGAAAAATCAATTAAATTATCCAAAGCTCATTTTCCACATTTATCAAATACAGAAACTATCTCCTCTCTTCGTCCCACATTATTGTAATTACCTAGTGCGGTGACGCATGTGGAGATACTTTCAAAAAGAGTAGAGCAGGTAATGTTATCTGTTCTTGTCTATTTATTTGCTTAATGTGTACCTAGCCAGGGTGTGATTAGCTTGTTAAAAATCCCTGAGCTATAGGCTTATCATCTGTGTATTTTCTATGTATACAGCATATTCAGGTTTAAACCTTTAGCCAAAAATAAAGAGCACAACAAATGCATTGCCTACTTAAAATTTAAGTAGCTGGCAATGTAATCTACCTGGCATATAGCCAATATGTGGAAATACAAATAACAGGCTCACACCCACAGCTGATTTGTTCTGCCTTAGGGATCCACAAAACTGAGATGTATGCCTTGGTCCCACACAGATTCTAAGCAGCAGATTAGGAGAAAGTTTGGCATGTCTAACTTGGGAAAACCAACAAACAACATAGGTTGAAACACACTCACTGAAAGCAAGTTGATAAATTGAATGAATACAATATTTGTGAGCTTGTTTAAGGGAAGTAAATATCCCCCCTCACCATAACATTTTCCTGACAAAGACCCAGTAAAATAAATTAATTATGACCTTGATTATTTCAGAAAAAGCCTAGTCATGTACAATACTGTTCCACTTAGAAAGACAAGGATGTTATATTATAGAAGAATATCTATCCAAAGTTTATTATTTTGTGATTGGGGGCACAGTGAGGTACACTGTCAGTATTGTGGGGGGAAAGTTTCCCAGAATGAGTCTAAGACCAGACGCTGTGTTCTGTCATTCTTGCTGCTGTTTCTTTTGGGTGAGTCTTACCTGCAGAAGGATAATCTATTTCCATTCTGCTTTACCACCCAGAAAGACTGCAGAAAGCGTGGAGATAACAGGAACTTTGTGTGTTAGAGACACAGGTTTAAAGTTTGTATGTACTGAGACCATTTTTAAGATGTGTACGGTCTTGGCAATGCCTACCTAGAAATATTATTTTCTCATATTTTACAGTAAAATGTAAAAATATCCTAACTGTCCACCATGGTATGTTTTTACACACGTAGATCCAATGGTGACTATCGCTTTTGAGAAATGACTTGGTAATGGGTGAAAACTGTGTTACCCACAATTGAACCAGAACTTACCCCAAGTATGGGTTCTGGAAAAGCACCAATCTGACTTTCCATTTTTCTGCCACCAGTGAACAGGTTGTTACCAGTGTCGAACCTGACTCTGCTTGTATCCATTGTTCAGGTGACTCAGGTGGAGGTTCACTGCCCTCTCTGTTCCCCTTGACACCTGCACCGACCAGCTGATCCACACTCCAGCTTAGGCCCCAGGGGATGTATTTGTAGTTGCCTTGATTGAGCCCTCGGCTGTTCTGGTCACTGCACCCGGCTTTCTCTGCTCTGTTCCTTCTTTTCTCTTCCTTTGTCTGTTTCTTAGCCCTTGGCTTATAATTTCCTAATTGTATATATGGTGTCTCAGAAAAAAACAAAGACCAGCACTGAACTTATAAGCATGTTATTATATTCTAAATGTTCACTTATGATTTCTTGAAGGAATATTTTATTTAAGATTTTGTCTCTGATGTTAGCCCACACATTCATTGAACCCAACAATATGACTGTCATAACACTCAGAATTCAGAATCAGGGCATCATCTTGACCTCATGAGTTCTGCAAGAACCTGCCTCATTCTGAGTTCTAAGCCTCTTGGGGTTCTGTGGGATGGGAGAGAGTGCCGTTGGCAGCCTCAAAAATGTAGAGAAAACTCAGGGGAAAGATATTCTAAGACAGAGGGTGGATTTAGTGTTCGGCGTGGGGTGGAAAGAGTCTTACTACATGAGGCTGCTCTTAAATCCAGGGCTCTGGTATTGAGGACAAACATGTCAGATACTACAAAAGAACATGGGAGGAGCTAGTAAAGAGGACAGATACAGAATCTGGATTCCAGGCTTCATTATGAAATGGATCTGTGATTACAGATAAGTCAGCATCACTATCAACTCTTCTTACATCAGCAAAATGATGGGGTTAGACAAGGTCTGTGAGGCTCTTTCTTTCTTTCTTTCTTTTCTTTTAAATATTTATTTTATTTATGCATACAAGAACTGGGGTACAGGCCAGAGGTGTAGAGGGTGAGAGGATTCACCAAAGACAGAGTGAGGAGCAGAACAGGCAGATCTACTGAAACACTGCTGAGGGGAGCAGCAGGTGTGTCAGGAGAGATCTCTGTGCCATGTAGGTCAGCTCCCAGGCCGGCCTGGAGCAAACTCAGTGACTGTGAAGAGCTTCATAGTGTTGTGCTTTAACCCCTTGTGCCACCAGTGAGAGCCCTCTTACCGATTCTAATGTCACTGCAAAGGGACAAACAGTCTCGGCATTCCAATACATGTCTGGAGAAGAGTGGGTTCTCAAGGATGTGCCCAACTCTCTCACCTAGGTGTTTAAAGGAAGGTAAGCACTATGTGCTGTGAGAATTTCTGAAATAAAGAATCAGGCTATCTCTCCTCCAGCTGCAATTCGGGCGCCTATATTGAAGTCAGAGAGTGGCTTATCCAGTGGCCTAACTGATGCATTAACAACCAGTGTTCCGAGCGCTCTTTCAAAACAAAAACAAAATAAAATAAAATAGCCACATACGAACAAGCTGCCCAAGTCCCAGAAGGAAAATAAGGATAATGCATTTTGGACAATACTTTTGAGTCATTTTACACATTTAGAGATTTTCTTTTTTCATGATTCATTTTAACATTTTGAATTTTCCTCACTGTAAATAATATTTACATCCACAGACATCTGCTAGAAAGTAAATAAAACTGTGATAAA